CCTGTTAATGTACGCATTCAAACACTTTTTCTTTTACCAGCTGTATTCACCTTGCAGTGTGGCTTTTATCCTGGATACAGTGTTTAAGTCATGGATGTTTAAAGTTTAACTTCTTCATATGTCTAATATTATAGTTGACTTTTCATTCAGGAAGTATGACGCTGCGCTGTCAGTACGCTTCTCCATGTTTGTGATTGGTCGAATGCTCCAAATACCACCACTCTCATGTGAACGCGCACCTAACTAGATAGGGCACGGCTGGCTTGAGCGATCCACTTGATAACCCGCGTCGTAGTACCGTTTAGCAAGAGCGCGTATGTTTTGGATTAGGCCAACCGGCTAACTCAAACATATCCAGGTTAGGTTGAACCAGCTTCGTAGTACAGGCCTCTGCTGCCCCTGTGTCCCCCCACCCTCCAGCTGTGTGTTGTCTCTGTGATTAGGCTTGTATGTATTTTGGTTTGTCTTCCCTTGTGTTCTTTGTTATATCGTTGTCTATGTTCCTGCCTGTTTCCCCAAGTTCCTGTCTGCTTATCTGCTCCTGTTTCTCATGCCCTCTGGTTTCTACTTGTTTATTTTGTTCTTCGTGTTTGTTGTTTTGTTTTACCTGGTCCGTGGCCTGTACAACGAAGCCAGTTCAACAAACCCTGGATATCTTTGAGTTATCTGGCTTAACTAAGCCTAACAAACGAGATCTCGCTAAGCGGTCCTACGATGCTGGTTATCAACTCAGTAACTCAACCCAGGGTTTCTCTGTCCGGCTGAGAGCGCGTTCACGTGAAAGAGGCGGGGTTAGCAACATTTGACCAATCACAAACATGGACAAGCGTACTGACATCGCAGCGTCATACTTCATGATTGAATAATAAACTATCATGTTAGACAAATATGAAGAAGTTAAACTTTAAACATCCATGACTGAAACACTTAATCCAGGATAAAAGCAACACCTGCAAGGTGAATACAGAACAGCGCTACGTCAACTTAATGTGTTGTTAAATAATACTTCTGCATACAGTATGTGTCACTGTAAGTGTTGCACAGCCAGATACGGCTCGAGAAGCTGACTCAGATAAGGAAGTATGTGATGTGATATGATGTGATTGATGATTTGATATGAATGATAATGGGACACATCAACGTCTGCACTCACAGTGTGGCGGACTGTAATGTTACTTTGATCCGGTTACTTATGTTGTGGCAGATATTTAAGCTTTCTTAACGATAATGTAATAATAGTCAGATTAGACAGAAGATGGGAGGTGATATTCTATTAATTAATAGAATGTATTTATTTTATCCTGGAATATGACTTGATAGCTTAAAACTCCGCACACTGAGCTCTGATTGGTCAGCAGGCGATGCTTTCACTGAGTTGATCTCTTAACTGGAACATAATCTGCTCCGGAGCAGGTTAGGTGTTCAGCATAAATTAACATGGAGACCTACCCCAGTAAGAAGTGAACCAGCATCGTAGGACCGAAAACCCAGAGTTAACCCTGAAGTTACCTCGCTAACCGCAAACCCTGCTTCGTAGTACAGGCCTCTGGTCCCCCTCTTTGTATCGGGTTTTTAGCAAAGCCTTTTGTCTTAACTTTATTACCAGCTTCCTGTGTTTTACTGTGTTTTGGTACTATCTGCTAGTTAATCCCTTACAGTAATAAAAAAGGAAACCAAAAAACCCAAAATCATGACATATTTTTACTTTTGTAAATGTTTCTAATAACAGAGGGTTTGGTTTTTTTTTTTATCAGGAATTATAAAGATTGAATGGTTTGTGACTCATTCAGAACAAAAGTGAATTCAATCAATTGTCAAGTGAATTTGAAACCTTTTAAATGGCACAAAAAAATATATGTGAATTAGGCATGTTGCTCCACGTCATGCAGCGTATTCCAGATTTTAAAAAATGTAAGGTGTTTTTTTATACAGTAACACTTGTTAGTATCCGCTCATTAGATAAATACTGTCCTTTCAAAATAAACCTCCATCTTCTACATCGCACAGTTGAGGAAGTTTTGTTGAATTTCTCTCCTTTTTCACAGCTTTCTAATGCGATACTTTAAAAAGGGCAAAATCTTTTGAATGGAAGCACGGCTATTTTGGCGGCCATTTTGTGTCCCTTCCTCAAACTACATTTTCGAGTGTCAGAGAGATTAGAGAGACGTTTTCACTTAATTGTGACCTTGTTTCTCATGAGAACATTATTTCATAATTAAAAGATTTTCGTATTGTAATTATGAATCTATTTTGTTGTAAACATTGAAAAAACAAAGATCTCATAATAATGATAAAACCTCATCATTACCAATACACAGGTCTTTTAATAATGAAAACAATGTATTATAATAATTAGATATAGATCTTCAATATGAAAAATAAAGGAAAATATATATGAATATTTTTCAGTATAAGTTTCAAAGTCACAATCAGGAGAACACGTCTCATAGTTTTGGTCTTTGCTGATTATGAAGAGGTACAATGCTGTTCAAACGGTTCACATGTGAATTCAAGAAAAACGTTTTCCTCGTTGACACAATGTTTTTTGACTGAGAGGAAATATTGATTAGTTTAGAATAGATGAATCTGCAGACAGATCAGCGCAGTAGAAAGTGTAGCAGAAGGCTGTTCGTGTATCGTCAGTGAATTATAACCTCTGTATGACTTTTATATACAAAACAACTGTAGATTATCTTTATTTCTATTATTATAACAAACGAGGTTTCATCACTTTTTCATTTTCTTCTTCTTGGTATTTACTGTATGTCCTCTACAGTTTTTAATAAAATCCTGCACACAAACTGTAGTCAAACTGTCAAGTAAATCTTTTGTTAATGTTGCAAAAAAGGAAATGAAATTAGCCATGTTGCTATACCTTTTGCAACCTATCGTCATGTTTGGTTAGAATACGTACAAAATGTTTGTTTTTCATCCGTTTTCCTACGAATATACAGAAACACGTCTTAGTTTCTGCTCGTTATATATATATACATTTCTGTCTAAACCACTCGTTTAGGGTAAGAAAAAGTTTGTATTTTGCGTTGAAATAACTTCAGAAGTGGCGCTACTTCATTATGTAAGTTACACATCGGGCGACTAAAAGTTTTGTTTAATTTTCCTGCCATTTCCATACAGCTAATGCAGAATTTAAAAAAGTGCAGAACAATGTTAATTGAAACATTTTCTGGCAGCCATTTTGTGTCCCTTCCTCAAACTTCATTTGTGAGACCAGTAAAAGTTTGTGTTTTGGGTAAAATAACTTGTAAAGTGATGCTAATTATGTAAGTTATGCATCACACACAAAAACTGTGTTTTTGCAATCTTCACACAGTAGATTATTTTTCATTTAATCTTTCTGTATACCCATTTTTTTTTAGGACCATATGTGTGAACTCAGAAACATGTAAAAGCCAATAATGCCTCAAGTGTGGCATCAGTTAAAAAAAAGACAATTTCACTATAATTAAATGTTATCAAATGGGCCGCCATGGATATATCGTGTCTAATCCGGCACAGGACCACATGCCGCATGTCACCCCCACTGTTTTCCCGCTTCAGTTCTATCTCTACAATAAAGGCAATGGTTGCACTAAAACAATCTTTAAAATTAAAAAATTTAAATTGTGAAATTTAATAAAAAGACACGAGACGGGAAACAGGAGTACACTGAACAATCCTTTTCTTTATTCATTTTTTGTTATCATTTCAACATGTCTGTCAGGGTTTTGTTTTTTTTAAGTTTTTATTTTAAATTAAAATGTTGACACACTTATAAAAGACAGCATCTGCATAGAGTTGTCATCTTAAAGATCCATGAAGAGAGAGAGAGGGGGGGTTAAGAGAGAAGGAGAGGAAGAGAGAGAGAGAGAGAGGGGGAAAAGAGAGAGAGAGAGAGAGAGAGAGAGAGAGAGAGAGAGAGAGAAGGGGGAGAGAGATTGGGATAGTGGGGAGGCAAAGGGGTAAAGTAGGGGGGGAATACTGGCACGTCACATGAACTAAACAGAACAGCCAACAGCAGTACGAGAGAGGGGGAGGAGGGGGAGACAGGGCTGCAGGGGGGGAGGTATTTTTTAGAGGGGGAGGGAGGGGAGGGGGGGACAGTTCGCTTTACATTACGCTACGCACACATACACACACAAAAAAAACGGGACACAAGTTGCATTTCCGGTCAAAGTTGCGTCTGCAGAGCGATGGCCCCGTCCTCTTTTTTAGTTTTTTTAAATTTTGGAAATCTTTTTTGCCGTCTCTTGCCTGCCATTTCCCCCCCTCTTTCTTTATTATCCATGCATCTGCTGGGTTTTTCATTTAATTTCTTTGTTGTTGCTCCAGAAGGTCTTAAACTGGATTTTGTTTTCTAAATCGAGTTCCTGCACGAGGTCCAGGGCCTTGAACGCCTCTGCATGATAAAGAAAGCCCTTTTTGTTTCTCTGAATATTGCACGCTTTGTTACGGTAGGCCTGTGTGAGGCTAGAGACCAGGGCCCGAAAGTCAGGAGGTGACTCGAGCACCGTGTTCCTTAAACACATCGAAGGCGTGACTCTGGTCTGAACTACATTCTGAAGCCTGAAAGGTAAAAAAACCGAAGATCATTTTCTTTTCAGGAACGCAAATGTAGCTTTAATCCAATTTCTTGTTTGCACTTTGACGCCTTTGAGAAACAGAAGCTCAGACCTCCTCCAGGAACTGGGTGAGAACTAAATGATGGAGCAACGACAGAAGACTGGGGTGGTTTGAAGAGTAACACGTGATGTGGTTTTAAAACCTTTCCCAAAAGCACTTTAAGGCAAATGATCTCCGCCCATTGACTTCTAATGAAACTGAGATGTTAGCATTAAAACGCTTCTCAACTGCATCTCAGGTGTTGCACTTGTTGCTGTTAGCCTGAAAGTGTTACGACAAAGATCTTTTAAAGCGACTTCCTGCAGAATTTGAAATAGTGGGCTTGTTCGATGGGTATAAGCAACATGGCATCCATATAAACAAATTAGCCGCTACCTTGGAGCTGCTTTCACCAATCATAGTATGACGTGTGTGCAGACTATTTCTCCGGATTTGGCTACTAACTGGCAGGGGACAAGTCTGGTGCATTTTTTTCTCTGGGGAATACGGCAGGCGATGAGTTATAGATTTGTCGTTTGGCTAGCTAGCTGTGTTCGAGAGACTAAAAGTCAGACAGAGAGAGAGAAAGAAAGAGATCAGAACCCGCTAAGTGATCAGGGACCGCGGGGTTAATTTTTCCTATAATGGAGGGAAGCACTTTCATCAGAGGAGCCAGTGGGTGGATCCTCCGGAGCTGTGGTGATGAGCGGTGGTGTGGTGGTGGCTGCGTTCAAACCCAAAATGTTCGCGGATAAACAAGTTCTCTTCATTCCCGTCTAAATATATTCTGCCCTTTTTTTTCTAGACGGAACTAAAGGGCTCTTTAAAAAAAAGACTGACAGTGCCTCTCGATGGAAAAACACGATCGTACGTATTTTCTTCCGTGGTTGGGCCTAAACGCAGCATGTGAGCTGAGCATGGCGGACGAACACGCTGGAAGATATGTTTTTCTTTCTCTCTGCTGGCGTCTCTTCCACGTGGAAAGAATCGAAGGGCTGCGGAGGTGGGGGACACGGAAGTGAGGGCGGGAAATACTTTTAGGGTGGGGGAGAACAAAAATGGCAAAAAGGACAGAGATCGAACTGCGTTTCAACTTTGACGGGAATAGGTATCTCAGTAGATTTATACATAGACATGCAAGTCATTTTTTCTCTCTTTGAAGTTATTTACAATAATTACATAACACAAAGAATCCAGTTTCAGTTTGACAAAATTGCGAGCATTCAATATTCAATATTACTACTTATTATTTATGATAACATAACTCCTTTTGTACTTCTTTAAATCATTGCCATTATAGAATCGTCATAACCTCCCTTTTTTAAAGTTTAGATGTTTGATCACCTTCCGTTCGTTCTCCCTCTGGGTTTTTGCAAATGTTTTACTGCAATTAATTTGTCATTTATGGTAATAATCATAATAATAATATTAAGAATAATAATGATAATGATAATAACAATGTTTATATAAGTGTCTTTCTTATTTGCTATGGCAGAGACCATGATGGTCTATCTTCATGTCCCCCCCTGACTCCTCCCTCCCCAAAAACACTGATTCCAAAGGAAATACTGTCTCGTACGATGGAGAGTAGAAAGACATGGGTGCAGCGTCAAAAGAAAATCATCAGAAACAACAATTAATATCACAGCTGACAACAAACAAACATTTTATCCTCCAGAGCAGGGCACTGGAACAGGTTTTGGTTTTTGAAAATTGTTTCAGGAAGACAAAAATCATCGTAGAGAAGAGTTGAATCGTCCGACTATTAAGGAACAAAAAGAAAACGCACCATTAACTTGAATCGTCGGTGTCTGTTGATAACAAACTTGGAAGACAGACACGCCTCTGAACACATTGGGCAGATTCAAACTGAAGAAAGTTAATTTTTCAGAAATAGCCGCATTTAGCCCGCACACATTCGACCTCAAACGAAAGGAAGTCATTGTTCAATATGTGTGTTTGACAAAATGCCCATTTACTTCCACACACGATCTAATGTGGCTACCGGCTAATCAATCTTTGGAGTCCTTGTGTCGCACCCAAACTCTCTCTACATGATTTTTTCCTGCTTTCTGCACCCCACCCTGACAGAAACTGTACACAGCCAGGAGAAGCGAATATGGCTACACAGCCACATACACACAGTAATAGAAATGCAGTATGTTGATGTAAGAGTCATATATATTTTCTTGTCTACATGTGACTACAGATTACAAGGCTGCAGTCCTCTGTCACACACAGGAAAATGCTCACTGAAGGGTTTACTAGTCACAGTAAAACATCCATTATCTCTACTGCACATGCACAATAATTTGGAAGCGGATATGCACATTAGTGTAAGAGAAACTATTTCATTTATGCAACATTATTTGCCAACGATTTGCTGGTGGAAATCTGCTAGCCTAGTTTCTAAATCCCTGCAAAGAAATAGGACCAGTCTTGTGCTCATTGACCCCAGTTTGGGGGTCAATGAGCAGTCCATAGGATTAAGAATGCTGTCCAGGTTGTTTTAAGACAAAACCCCTCTTAAACCAACTATATTCACTTTTACATCAAAGTGCAGTAGAGGTAATGAATCCTGCAGCAGAAAGAAATCGAGTAGCATTGTTAACTAGCACTGCTTCATTGTTATTTTTGTGGAAATTATTGACTAGTTAGGCCATTTAACTAGCCAGCAAAACCTTGCAGGGAAGCATTGATCCTGCAGTGTGCACACAGAGACTGATAAACAAGCTATACAGAAAATAACACCAAAATAACAAGAACTAGAGCAATTAATAAGTAGAATAAGAAAGCACCACCATTGTCTCCGTAAATCCCTCAAAGTGGAGGAGAAGTGTACATACGCTAACGTTTTAACAGATGAGTATGCTCCATTTTTTTTTACACAAACTAACGTGTACAGGTGAAGGAGAAAGGGAAAGGGGTGTGGAGGCGGACATCATTGTTGTGGCGTGAGATTACTATTTTGTAAATGGTGGACAGACCAACATACAGTGAGGGCTGGTAGTTGCTGGGGGGCTGGCCTTTCATATTTGTATAGTTTCGGTTTAAATTTATTTTTATCACCATTTGTGACGAACGACTCTGTGTAAACTTCACTCGTGTTGTGCTCTTTGATATTAGCGGCGAACCGTTTGAGAACACATGAGGGGAGGGCAAAAAACGCTTTGGTTTGAATTTTAACAAATACATAATAATAACAGTGATCATGGCGTCCATAAATATGTCTGATCTCTTCCCATCTGTCACAATTTTTTAAAACACGCAATGTGGATTTCATCAAACAGCTTCAACCCTTGGACCTGCGATCAGATGCTTCGCACAACAAAACAAACTCGTGCTGCTCCGAACAATCACAAACACACACACACACATTCGCGCATTTAAGCACCAAATTTGTTTTACTGAAAAGGAAGGGAGGCATGCTGCACACACACAAGGCCAGGTGGAGGGGCAGCAGGAGGTCAGCCCATAGGCAAAGGTTTTTTACAATAATAAATAGTTGAGGGGACGATTCCTCCACAAACAAATAACACAAATGCAAACACAGATCAGTTGAGGTGTGTAAGGTGGGTTGGCGGTTGATGTGGGGAGCAGGATGGCTGAAGTCGAGGGTATTTCAAAATGTAGCCTTTCAAAAATATCAACTGCTTCTTAAACACCCTAAAAATACAGTTACTGTTCCAACAATGTTACAAACAGAGCACACGTGAGCAAGTAACGTGAGCCAACATGTGTTTAGATTGAAAAGAAAATTGAGAATGCAGATTAAGAAGGAGCAAGTAAAATAGTTAGCTAACAAGCTAACTAAAGTCAGGTCCATGAGCGGTAAAGTGCACGACATGGAGGGCAGGGTGGGGTACAAAAAACACCATCATGCAAACTCCACAACGCTTTTGCATGCCTTTTTTATTATTATTATTATTATTGTTATTATCATCATTATTACACACAACGGGTTGGGCAGGGTCTGCTGGGGCGGGGAAGGCACAGACTCCCAATCCTCAACATTGTCTTTTAGTACAACCAAACAGCTACAACACAAACAGGAAGAGGGAAGACAAAAGGAGAGGTTGGGGGATGAAAACTCGGACAAACTACCCAACCTTCACAGAGTTGCTTAATTATGGTTTTCCGATGTTTGTCCGTTTTCTCTTTCCCAAGAGGAATGGCGGCTGACTTTACAGAAAACACACACACAACCAAAAGACACGCCCATACACACATACGGCAAATAAACTTTAGTGTCATCAAGCTGGCTGGTGCTACGACGGCATCCTTTTTTTGCTGATTTTATATCCACCGCCAAACCATTGCAAGACTAACAAGACGACCGTGACGTCGACCATTGAGAACACGTGATTGAATCTAATATTGTGCGGCTGACATGATTTAACGAAGAATGGTGAAATGTCAATCAAATCCCTCAATACATGCCTGACATTTCCAAGATGAATCACTAAAAAAAAAAATCATACTTGTGTTTGATTTACACATATTATTTGATATCCATGTATGGACAGTGTCTGTTCTACAGTCTAAAAAACACCATGAATGTTTCAACAACAAAACAGCAGAGGAAAGTGCTAAATTCTAAATCTACTGACAATTTATCGGAATAAACATCTATTGGATTTTGCTGCTAAGCTTTGGTTTTGGGAAGAATAAAATGAAAACTCCCACTTCCACTCTTCTCTAAACCTCGCTCTTCATTTAAAAATAGCGACTATTAATACAGTATCTCAGACATCTAGAACTAACAGCACTATTAACTTTTATGACTTCCAAGAAAACACACAATATATTCAACAAAGCAGTGAGAACTTCCTTAGTGCCTACACTTTGCCTTTGGCAGCAAGAAGTACTGTTAGCTGGGACAAAGAGGCTAACGTGATAAACAACTCACACTTCCTGTCATAGCTTGCCGAGTTGCAAAGGTATTTTTTTTCAATCAATAGAACCAGATATTATCCTTTGATTCCTTGAAAGGACTTTTACCAAACGTAACAACACTTTGCAACTGTAAACCTCGACACTGGGGTGACAATCAAGACACACAAAGCTAGCTAGCTAGTTACCACTTTTTCTGTAATATAAATGTTAATTTCTACAAACTGACTTTATTGCTTTGACACTGAGTGTAGACTTATTTTGTGGAATGTAAGGTGGTATTTGTTACCCTGTTTGGGTCACACCTACGTTCCCATGGCCCTATGTTCTTGATATACACTAACATTGTAAGGGATCGGTAAGGGCTATCGTCGCAGTTCAACATTCAAAAGATTGAAGAGAGATGGATTGATAGGTAACATTTCATTCAGCCACTGTGGAGGTAACAATATCTTAAATTGAGCTGGGGGCCATAGGACCTTTGGAACTTATTTTCTTCCTTGGAACATCCAGGGTAGGCCTCAACAGAGATGAAGGTACCCAAGTATCACAGAGCCTTCACTCAGACAAACCTTCCTCCTTTAAACCCCCTCCTCCAGTCATTTTCAACACAACCGTGTGTCCAGGTTAGGGCAACACACACATTCACTTCTCAACACAGACCACACTTAAGAAACAAAAACATGCTTGTACAAAACTACAAATGCATGTTGTCCCAATCTGGAGCAGTGTCGAGGTTGTCTCCTCCAGCAGACGTGCTGCTAACAGCTATTGCTAACGCTACTGTAAATATAATTTAAATAATTTAATTTCTGTATATTGCTACACCTTAGTGAAGGAGCCAATGGAAAGCAAAATGCTCTACTTAAAATTAAACTAGTTTGACCAAATAATCTAACTAGCATTCTACAATCATCGGCAGATTGATTATCTTTGCAAAATTAGTTAGCTAGTTAAAATGTTAGCAAGCGTGTTGAGATTATTTTGTCAAACTACTATTTCCAAGATCAAGAATCAACTTCCCGTATTATTTCTTAGGTCTCATTCTTTCCCCAATACTGGTCTGAACTCACGGAAAGTGTCTTTCCTCCAACTAGCAGCTCTACATGATCTATACGTAACACGAGCAAACGCTATTGCATGCTAAGTGACAAAGTCTAACACTAGCACTGGCATGATATGTAACACGGAAATGTGAAATGTTAGGGGGAGTATATCCAGTGTGTCCTGTGTGTAAAATGTATACATCAGAGGTGTTCATGCAAGTGAGTTTGTGTGTCACATGTTCCACCTTCCACAGAGGAAATTCCCCAGTAGGAAAAGCCTCTCCTGTTCAGTAGCACCGGTGCAACTCAGGCATTAAAATGTTGTGAATCACATTTCACAAACCTCAAACACACACTCAGGCATGAGGTGTAGGGATGCAGGGAGGAAACAGGCGAATGCATCAAACCATACAGACTAAACGGTAACCGCTGAATGATGTCAGGCCGATACGTCACGGGACACGTCACGCACACACTAAAACAGCAGCACAACGAAGCAACAAACGTTCCCCATTAATAAAACAAAAACGCAACAATATTACCACGACACTCAGGTAATCAGGGCACGCCAGCATTTTTAGAGTTTTCCGAAATGTTCATCTCATTTGTTTCATAATGTTATGACGGTGACGAACTGCTGTGACAGCTTGGAGATGACACCGGCTTTGACTGCGATATTTCTACAGTGATCAGTGTGATGAGCCTTTTGGTGCGGTAACATGAACCTCGATCCTTATTGGCTATCTTGGGTGGGGGAGGCGGGACATGTCGTCTTCCTCTTATCTAAACTGCATAGATTGACCGTCCGTCTCCTCCCACCCTCCTTCAAGCCTTCCTTCTATTACACCCCCGTCCTTCCCACCGTTCACCTGTCAGTCAAACAACAAACGTTCTAGTCAAATCCAGCAAACAAACAGAGGCCCGCCCTCCCCCTGCTCTTTGGTTGGATAGATGTGACAGGACGGGGAGGTTTTTGTATTGGAAACCTGCCACATTGCAATGACACCCCTCACTGGTGCACATTGTGTGTCATGCTCTTTTCTTCGTGAGTTATAAATTGGGTGTGGCAGGTCGGGCTTTGCCAGTCTCAACTAATTTCATAATAGGCTGACTAGGGTGAATGACAGGAGTGAGCAACTAATGAGAGGTGGTCTAAAGAGTGAGGTTGGTCCCTCCCTCTCAGAAACAAGTGGACATAGTTGGTTCTACCAAAGCCAGCGGGTGCGTGTCTTTCGGGACGGCATTCTGGAACACTCAAGCGTTCCGGAACGCTCCAGTATTACTGACAGTGTTTTCATAACACTCCAGCATTACTGACAGCATTCGGAACCTAATCTGTTCAGGAACCTCTTGTTCTAGAATGTAGCGCAGAGTTCCAGAGCTCCACAAAGTTCTGACAGAGCCGATAAAATTGATCTCCTTCAGAGTTGAAAGCCCATAGTGGGGCAACACAAACACATTTATTAAGAATGTGTTCGGTGACGTTTTCATAACGTACTCTGTTCCAAAACCTCTGCTGGATATACAGATAGGAAATGAACAAACAAACGTTCTTGAATGCTCGTCCCGGAGAACTCACACCCAGCAGCAAGTCACCATTACTGTCCTTGGAGACTCCCGAAAAAAGAAAGAAACTTAAAAAAAACAAGAACAAAAAAAGGCAAAACAAACAAATAAATGTCATATTCTAGGTCATCATTTTTTACAGGTAGCTAACCCACGTGTTGCTTCATATGTTCAATACATTTACATGTGCAACTGTAATAAATAGTAGGTTTATTTGCACCCTCTTTTGTATGCGTTATGTATTTAAGTCAGCTATAATGTGATGGCATTTTTATTGTGTTTTTTTTGTCTTTGTCTTTTGAACCCCACCCAACCCCATGGTGTTTCCTCTTATCAGTGATTGGATTGTTATCTCTCCCTAGCTGATTGGTTATCTGTCTTGCATTTGTGTTTCAAGTTTTTGTGTTGTTATCGTCGGTGTTTCTCTTCTCTGCTGGCGGTCAGACGGTCGGTCCTGTCGGTCGTCACACCAGCAAGAGGCGGAGCGTCTTAGAAGCCAAGCGTGCCGCCGATGGTTGACGCCAGGACGACGCCCAGGATGACACAGCAGATGATGATCATGATCTTCTTCTGCAGGGAAAAAAGAGACGCAGATCTGTGAATAATTTTTCTTGCGGGAATGTTTTCTGGAATTTGCTGATCTTTCCGCATGAAAAAATTGGTGCAGGGGCGACTCGTGTTTTAGTCCTATCCTAAAGTTAGCATTAGCCTAGCTCCACGAAGAGACTATGTGATTTTACCTGTTACAATTTGGATTATTGAAGAAAATAGGATGTGTGGCATAAAAACGTTTGTTATGCCACACATCACAGTGGCAAACCATGTCTATCACAACTGGATCTTCTGTAGACACAAACACACACCTCCCCCCGTTATAATGTCCGTCTTTTCACTAGATTGTCGTCTTGAAAAGGGTACTGACAAGAATTCCGCAAAATTATCATCTTCACCTGTTGCCATTTCAACGTTAAAAACAATAAAACGGCAAATGAATTGCTAAGTCGCATTTATCTATCCTCTGTCTCGAGCCAGTGAACTAACGGGCCTATTAGAATACCCTGGAACCGAGGGAAACTGAAAGAATACGCCCATTGGCTACAAATCAATATATGATAGGTGGATCAAACTGTCAATCCAAACGTACGCTCTCATTCAGTGCAACGGCCAGGGCATTCTATCAAGGATGTAGAATACCTTGGTTGAAGGATATTCTACCCAGAGACCCAGAAAAATATCGGATTGGTTGCATTTGTTTTCTAACACAAAACCACTCAAATGCGTAGTGCATGGTCCGAGAAGGACAAACAAATCAACGTAACACTGTAATATTACAGATCGACGACACAGATATGATTCTCATTTTTTCATTTACATTTTATTCAATTGTATTTATTTAATTAAATCGATTTTTTGTTTGTTTTAATCTGAGTGTTCCAGGCTATTCTCTGAATACCTTGAAGGCCCTGACGGTTCACCACTGGTTAATAAGAATAATCAGGTTAATCTCCCTGAATCATTAAAGGTTAAATGCTAAAAAGGGACTATATCATGATCACATGATTTCTTGTCACCAACACTCAGCTAAAGGCGGTTAATATTTGGCGTGATGACTTTTAGTGTTCTCATTTAGCCACTTGGTAGCAGTTGCGTGGTGAATTTACATGTTGTAGAGCAAACCGTCACTTGACCAGATCTCTTTTCAGGCATCTAACAAAAACGCAATTTAAACAATGGAACAGGAAGTGCTTAGATGCTAACCCGTTCTTGGTTTTAGGGCTCGTTCCTGCAGCATGCTAAAGACACAGTTGTTATGTTTTTCTGATGAAAATGTTACCTTGCGGGCCTGGCTCTGGTATTTGACGGCCTTCTTGGTGTCGGATACGGCTCGCTCCACGTAGTCAACGGAGTGTTCAACATTGTACTCAATTCTGTCAATCATCTCTCCCTAAAAACATATGTAAACAGTTTTACAGAAGACTTCCAAACAATGCTGCATATACTTCCCAATGTCACGTCACAAACCTGGCTCTCGACCAGCATGGCCATGTCGACGAACATGTCGTGCAGCTCACGGATGCTGTTTTCCAGCTTGATGATCTCGGTGTGTCTGGTCTCGATCTCATTCAGAGCCTGCTTGGTCATCTGAGAGTCCATTTTGATCTACAGGTTTTACCACAAACATTCATTTACACTGACATCTTTAAAGTGAAAGAAAACATCAATTGAATTAAAATAAAATAAACATATATACATAGTTTTTATAGGTAATAAAAACACTATACATTTGGGAATATATTAATAAAGCCTCTTTAAAACCAGACCTATTGATATCCAAGTCAGTGATAATGTTCAAAATGTAAAGCCTCTTGATTTCCAAGTCTTTAAAAGTGCTTAAAGTTCAAACTTGTTGATATTCCAGTCTTTGAGAATGTTTAAAAGTAAAAACCTGCATGAATCCAAATCTTGAATAATTTATAACAGTAAAAACCTGTTGATATCTAAGTCTTTAATAATGTTCAAAAGCAAAAATCTGTTGATATCCAATGTTTGACAATGTATTAAATTCAAAATACTGTCATATTTAGGAACATATTCATAATGCTAATGTATTGTGATATACTAGTGTTGATAACTGACATTAAAATTGATTTTAATATAATTTAAATAATATACACAACATCTTGTTTTACCCACACTTGAGTCTTGAGTGCAATAATTTCCCCAAAGATATGAATTTGATTGCTAACATTGTTATTATTAAATTTTTCTACTTCAAGCATTCTATAATATTGTTATCATGTATTCTTAATAGGGATGCTCCGATCAGGGTTTTTGGGGCCGATCGCCGATCCCTGGAATCAGAATTGGCCGATACCGATCGCCGATCCGATCATAGGGTGGGTGAGGGCTATGGGGATCTTCCATTTAAAGTGACGTTTAAAACTCAGTTAATGGGGCTCATTTTTAGGTTGCTTCAGTTTATAATCGTAACGGATCGAAAAGTTCAGATACATTTTACAATAAATATTTGCGCTTCCACAGACAACCAACAACATAATTATTACATTCAAATTAAGTACATTATTCAAGTTTACATTAACTTTGGATAATAACACGAGAGAAATGAGCGGAAGCGCTCTCTCTCCCTCTCTCTCTCTCTCTCTCTCTCCCCCTCCTGACAGCCTGTCAGTATCTCATGAGTGACCCGACAGTGAAGAATACATACATTTATAACTAGTTGAGCTTGTTCCAGAGGTAGATAAAATAGCTAAGTGTGTTAGGTCTAACTCTTACGGCTCGTCCACACAGCAGCGTTAAAAAAATCTTGGAGGCGGGCGTGTCTGAAAGCTTGGGGATTTTTTGCGAGCAACGCGACCAACAACCAATCACATGAATCTCCCGCCCCCGACATACAAAGCAATAGCAATGTTAAAACGAAGTAAACTGGATATAAACTCCCCAAACAGGCGAAAACCTACCAGTTTCACCCACTGTCTCTGCCACCTCCCTCCATGCCTGGTTCCTCCGGTTTGTATCCTGGTAAGTTATTAGCGACTGGTCATAAAGAACCGGGTGATATTCTACCGCAATAACTAATTTCTCCTCCATTTTCAGGAATATAGAAAATGAACTGCGGTCTGGCTCTCCCAGCTTGCACGCGGTTTGATTGGCTAGCGCTTGTACTGTCAGATTTGCATAAACGGGATTTGATTGGCTGACGCTTCCACCTCAGCTTCAAAAGTTGAACATTACTCAACTTTTAGATCACACTATTAAGAGTGAATATCGGCCGATAATGATCGGCGGCCAATCAATCGGAGCATTCCTAATTCTTAACATCAAAATCTGATATTGCGACCCTATGTGCAAGTAAACAAAGTCAATGAGATTTTCAAAATAAAATATTTGGGGTTGATATACGCAGTTTTGGAGGTTTAAACCAGTTTCTAGTATTACGCTAAAAGTTAAGTTGGCGTAAAATGTGGTGCTGACTTGGCCTCCAGTTTCTTCTGACATTCAAAATGTCCGACTAACTTACCTGTCTGTAGAGTAACTTAACACCGGCTGTAAACCTGTTATTGACTGAGGGGCTCAGCGTGAAATGTGAAGATTTCCAGCGCAGTGTTAAGTTACAGACCTGATCACAAACATCAGATCAATCTGCTCGGGCCAGAGGTAGAGGTGCATGCATGTTTTAGCTTTTATTTTGAGCGAGCCAGTAATTCATGTTTAGTTGACTCGTCAAAATAAAAGCTTCCCAGTGCACCATCCTATTGTTACATGCCATGTGGCAACGGCCGTGTTCACTTGATGTTTCAGCGCACCTCATGGCGATTCTGCATCCCAATTAAAACTGGTGAGGGGACGCAGAATGGCTCAGGCAACAGTGAGGCTCAGGTGCGATGCTTACATCATCCGTGAAGATGGCCAGCTTGCCACTCTCCAACATGTCCTCTAGTTCTTCATTGGTGGTGGTCCTCCCAGCTGCAGAGAGAAAACAGAGAGGGAACTGCCATTTATGCTCATTTCTTTTGACCAGGTCTTATTTGCAAAGCTTGGGAGAAGAGTTGAATATTTTTGATAAATAACAATAAAAAAAGAAACTGGTGTCTTGTAAAACCCTGAAGAAACTGCACTTTGTGTGCATATATGTATATTAGTTTTTATAACTTAATTAATTGAAATATATATTTTGTATTCTCATATTTTGTATTTTCTTTGGGTATATATTTCTTTCTTATATACACTTTATTTCATAATATTCTTTTTCAGAATTTAGCTTACCCTTAGTTTCTCTTACTGTGTTTGCATGTATGGATAAATACAAATTCCTTTAATGTAAAAGCCGAGAAAACTCTAAATCACATTGACGTTACATAACATGACATATTTTAAATTTACTCTGAAAAGTTTATAAAAATAGATTTGACCTTATTAGTTCACGAAGACATCTGTATCTCTCTTTCCTATAACATTTAGATTTTCTCTACAGTTTTCTGATCTTATGAGCCTGTTCACCTAAATTGATATGAATGGAATTTTATGAAGACATCGTCTGAGGTTAATTGACTCGTATTATCTCATGAAATATAATATTTAAATTTAATTTTGTAGCTTGAATTAAAGCTGCTTTTGTCTATTCATGTGGACATTTGAACCTTGGCTAATCCACTAAATTATTTTTTAATAAAGGCTCATCTGATAAAGCTAGATTTAAATAAATGTAGTTTGCTTTTGTTTTTAATCTGTTACAACATGTTTGATGGAAAGAAATGTTTTAGTTTTTTTCTTTGTTTTCTCTGTTCAGCATTTAAAGTGTATGTTGAATATTGATTGTACTGAGTATAACAGTCATTTAATGTGTGTACTCACTGATCTCCCTGCTGTTACCACACTTTGTATATGTTTTGTACTGGATGTATTAGTTGTGTAGCGCTTGTACTCACTGATCTCCAGCTGTGTGCAGTAACAGTACATGGTATATTGGGTACTGTGTATGTGAGTTGTGTACTGCATGTACTCACTGATCTCCAGCTGTCTCTGGATGCGGTCCTTGCAGCGGTCGCGGTACTTGGACTGCGTGGTGTTGTACTCAGTCATCACCTCCACGAACTTACGAGACAGCGTCGAGTGCTGCAGGTTATCAAATAATTAAAACACGAAACATTTAAAGTCATCAAATCAGACTCTGAGACACTTGGGGCGACGATTTTCTGCCATTTGATACACCAAACAAACAGTCAATATATGATGAAGACAGTTTCAGCCCTGAAGAAACAGAAACCACGTGAAACATTTCTGAGCAGCAGCCACCAACCAAACAGATTTCTGAGGATTTAACAAATAACACCTTCATTTTTATCTTAGCTTTTAAACAAAAACACATAATGAGTAATATGTAATTACATAATCAGCTCCAAAATATTTTAGAACACAATTGCCTTTAAAAGCCTCTAAAATACAGCTGCTTTTCTTCATTTTATATTATATTAAAGTTAATCTTTGGATATTTAGAGCCTTCACCTTGGACATTGATTTCATTTCAAACCTTTATTTAATCAGATTGGTCCCTTGAGATCATAGATCTCTTTTTCAAGGGAGACTTGCAG